AAGCTCGCGTCGGGGCCGGGCGTCTGGACGCTCAAGGACGACCAGAAGAAGAAGCTCGAACGAATCACCGAGGACGAGGAGGACGACGAAACGCGCGCGTCGCCGGACCACGACCTCGCGGCGGCCCTGCCGGCGAGGACGCACGCGGCGATCGCCGCGCTCCACGACGCGGGCATAGTGAAGCACGTCATCTCGCAGAACATCGACGGCTTGCACCACCGCGGCGGTCTGCCGCGCGAGGCCCTGAGCGAGCTCCACGGCAACGTATGGGTCGACCGCTGCGACCGCTGCGGCGCCGAGACGGTCCGCGACGCGCTCGTCCAACACACGCGGCTCGCGGACGTGCCCACCCTCAAAAAGGGCGCGGCGAAGGACTGCCCGCACTGCTCCACGCCGTCCTTTTGCCACTGCACGCGGCGCGCCTGCGAATGCTGCGACGACGCGCCGCTGAAGGACACGATCGTCAACTTCGGCGAGTCGCTGCACGCGCCGACGCTCGAGCGCGCCCAGGCCGAGGCCGAGGCCGCGGAGCTCTGCCTCGTGCTCGGGAGCAGCTGCCGCGTCGCCCCGGCGGCGGACCTCCCGCGGACGTCGAAGGCGCACGTCGTGGTCAACCTCCAGCCGACGCCCCTCGACGCGTCGGCCGGGCTCAGAATCGGCGCGCGGTGCGACGACGTCCTCGGGCGCCTCCTCGAGCTGCTTAACGTGCGCCCCTAGTCGCGGTGAGCTGCTTTACAAGGCGCCTTCCCTAGGGCGGCACCTGCCCCCCGTCGGCGAGGAACTGCGCGATGCGGTTGATGATCGCGTCCTTCGTGCCCGACTTGGCCAGCCCGAGGTCCTCCGCCGTCGCCTTGAGCGCCGGCGCCGTGAAGTTGGCCTTGAGCGCGTCGCGGTCCAGCGGGTCGACGAGGAGCTCCTTGGGCACGCGGGCCGCCGCCGCCGGCTTGGGCTTCTTCGCCGCGCGCGCCGCGACGCCGCCCGCGGGGAGCGCGGCCTCGACGGCCGCGACGCGCCCGTCGAGCGCGTCGTCGCTCGCCGGCCGCTGCGCGTCGCCGTCGCGCCACGCGCGCTGGACGACGGAGTCCGGCCCCTCGCTGTCGAGCCCAAAGGCCACGGACTCGAGGAACGCGAAGTGGTTCCTCCGCGCGGGGTTGAAGACGCGCGCCGGGTCCGCGGGGCCGCCGTCGCGCGCGCGGCCGCTCAGCGCGGCGACGAGCGCGCCGAGCGCCGCGTCCAGCGCCGCCGCCGTCTCCGCCGCGTCGTCGCCCTCGTCTTCGCGGGGCCGCTTCAGCGAGGCCGGCGCGCCGCGGGTGTCGCGGCGCTCGTCGCCGAAGGGCAGCTCGTGGAAGAGGAGGCCCCGGTCGTCCGGCGCCAGGACGACCAGGCGCGGGCACGCCGCGTGCTTGCGCTTCACGTAGCGCGCGAGGCCGACCACGCGCTCCTCGCGCATGGCCTCGATCAACGCGGACAGGACCTGCGACGACCCCGGCCCGAGGTCGTCGTCGGGCGCCAACAGCGACGCGTGCGTCGTCTTGACGAGCTCCGCGCCGCCCGGGAAGACGTCGCCGCGCGCGGCGAAGCCGAGGAGCGCGACCTCGCCGTCGCCGAAGCCGAGGACGTCGGACGCGTCGTCGCACTCCTTGAGCTGCGCGCGGTCCACGTAGCACCGGTTCGCGCGCTTGACGTCCGCCTCGGCCGCGTCCGCGAGCGGGCCCAGGGGCACGTAGGTCCGGATCGCGGACGCGTCGAGGATCGACGCCGTCGTCGCGTCGAAATCCTGCGACGTCGTCGTGACGAGCTCGCCCGTGTTCGCGTCGACCTTCTTCTGGGCGAGCGCGCCGGGCGCGCGCGCGAGCGTGCGCCGCGCGACGCGGATCGCCGCGGCGCCGTCGCCGCCGGGCAGCGCGAGGGCGAGCTTCTCCGCGAGGCGCCCCCGCGTCGCGGACGTGCGCGTCTGCGCGCGCGACTCGACGGACTCGGCGCCCGCGGCGGGGTAGGCGTTGCGGAGCCAGTCCGCGGGCGCGCCGCGCCTGTCCGGCGGCGCGTTCGCCTTGAGGAGCGGCCCCCAGAACGCGTCGAGCTCGTCGTCGAGCCCAAAGTGCGCGACGTGGACCTCGAGCGCGACGTCCGCGGCGTCCTGGGCGAAGGTCAGGCAGACGTCGCGCTCCGCGGGCGACGCGTAGGGCTCGGCCGCCGCCGAGAAGACGTAGATTATCGACGAGCTCGCGTCGCGCGCGCCGTGGCCGTCGAACGCGCGCTGGCACGCGTGGAAGCCGTTGCGCAGCGACCCCTCCTCGCTCTTCACGGCGTGGGCGTCGGCGGCGGCGAGCCAGGCCTTGACCTTGCCCGCGTCGGCGAAGACGCCCGCGGCGATCGCGTCCTGCAGCGGCCGCGCGCCCGACGCGGTCGGCGCGCCCAGCGCGAGCGCGCAGCAGCCGTCCGTGGACCCGGAGCCGTCGCCGCAGAACGCGACGCCGACGACGTCCTTGCCGCCGCCGACGAGGCGGCCCTTGATGAAGGCCAGCACGATCTTCATCGCCGCCTCGAGCCGCGTCTCGAACGTCGCGGCGCCGGTCTGCTCGAGGAGGTCCGCGGTCGTCAGGTCCAGGAGGAACATGGCGCGCTCCTGGACCTCCGTGCCGAAGGTCTCCTCCTCCTCCTCCTCATTGTTTTCGTAGTCGGCCATGGTGTCTCTTGGACGAGGCGCGCGGCGCGGGAGATGGTTCTCGAACGAGATGCTCGGCCCAGGACAGCGTACTCGGGACCGGTACCAGCCGGGGCAAAATGGCCCGTCCGTACGTGTACACCGACGCGGAACAGTCGGTATTGGCTCCCCGCGCGGACTCCGGACTGTGGCGAACAGCTGGCGCCAATCGCTACCGCTATCACGTGCTAGGGACTCGGACGCGTCGCCCATCGGACGCGTCCGAGGCCCACGTTGACCCTGTGATGCCTTTGCATGTTGCTGCCGCTCGAGCTCGAAGTTGCGGCGCCGATGTGTGCGTACTGACTCCGCCGGCTTCTCTGCCACAAACCATGCGCGCGGCGCTCGTATTCCTGGCGGTGGCCTCCGGCTGGTCTCCAGCGCCGCGACGCACCCGCGCGACATCCCTCCGAATCTGGCCCACTGAAAAATCCTGGGACGAGGAATGGATGGAGGCGCATCCGAGCAAGAATGGCGAGGCGAAGGCGCCCAAGGCGGCGAAGGCCGACGGGTTGAAGAAGCCCGACGGCGGGCGCGTGCCGTCCATGCAGGAGCTCATGGGGATCGTCGAGGAGAAGCACCTGACGCGGCAGCGCGAGGCCGAGGACCGCGGGAAGCGGAGCCCCGAGCAGAACATGATGGACGGGTCGCGCGACGTCTACCTCGAGCAGCTCGAGGGCCTCTCCGGGCGGCGGAGCGCCCTGGCCTCCGCGAAGCGGCCCCAGTTCATCGTCGCCGTCGTGCTCGGCAAGGCGCTCTGCTCCGGGCGCATCTCCGTCGAGCACGCGGCGCGGTGCTCCGCGCTCGCGCGGGCGCTCCTGGAGCGGCGCCTCGACCCGGACCAGGTCGTCTTCACGGCGTCGGCGGCGTCCAAGGCCGAGGGCTGCGGGGACGACGCGACGGTCGCGTGCAGCTACTTCCTCCACCTCTGCGAGGCGCTCGGCGTGCCGCTCGACCCGGAGTCGCTCGTCGTGAGCCCGACGCCCGTGACGACGCGCGTGGGCATGCAGGCCCTGCTCGAGCGCTTCGTCGTGCCCCAGCTCTCGGCGACGGCGGGGCTGCACCTCACGTTCTTCGCGTCCGACTACCAGCTCAGCCGCCTCGAGCGCATCGGCGCGGTGACGCCGCACCTGTCGCTCTTCGCGCCGCTCGCGGAGCGGCGCGACGTCTTCCTCCAGCACGTCGCGGCGACGGAGGCGCTCTACAAGACGAACACGACGCGCAAGGGCCAGCGGCCCCGCATGCCGTCGCTCAGCGCGAAGGACGGCGGCGCGACGAGCTGGGCGCTCGAGAAGGTGCTCTACCCGCCGGGCCTGCTCATCTCCTCGGGCGACGCCTTCGCGGCGTCCTTCCTCGCGCAGACGCACGTCATCTTCGACTCGCTCGTGCCGCTCCTGCTCAACTTCCACGCGATCGTCAACAAGGAGGAGATCCTCGCGGCCGAGTACTACGACGACCTGCTCCTCGCGAAGCGGCGCGTGTCCGAGCAGCTCCAGCTCGTCGACAGCCCCATGCGGCCCGCGGCGCTCCGCCTGAAGACCATGGCCACGGCGAGCCCCCACGCGCTGGCCCGCCAGGCGGCCGCGGCGCGGGCCGACGGCGACGGCGACGACCGGCGGCGACAGGACGAGGCCGCGGGCCAGCAGTTCGTCGACGAGGCCCTCGAGCGCGTCCTCGCGCGGCTCAACGAGATCGAGCGGCTCGTGCGGCCCGCGGCGACGCGCGAGGGCTACCTCGACGCCGCGGACTGGGAGCGCGCGCTCGCGCTGCTCCAGGCCGTCCTCGCCGAGGCGCGCGCGGCGACGGACCCGGACGCGCCCCTGCCGGCGTCGGAGTGGGGGCGCCTCGTCGACGAGGACGAGCCCGACTACGGCGACCTCGCGCTCAGCGAGATCGCCGACTTCAACCGCCTCCGCGACGAGCGGAGCCTCGTCGAGGAGGGCACGGGGGACGCGCTCTACTAAGGGGAGAGCGCTCCTTTAGAAGAGGCGCCCCTCGGGCCGCCGAGGTACCCCGCGCCCGCCTGGATAAGCGCCCCTCGGGCCGGAACTGGGACTCGTCGCGAAGTTCGTCGCACCCGCCGGGGAACGCGCTCTACGAAGGGAGAGCGCTCCTTTAGAAGAGGCGGCCCTCGGGCCGGAACTGGGACTCGTCGCGCACGGGCGCCGCGTGGTAGGGGACCGTCTCGTCCCAGCGCACGCGGCGGCCGCCGCCCCCATAGGCGTGGAGCTTCGCGTTCTGGTTGTGCGCGAGCACCTGTGTGGAATTCAGCCACTGGTTTGGGTGGTCCTGACCAAACTTGAGAATTCTCTAGCTCGGTCAAATCGAAGTCGATTCGGCTAT